TCACTGGCATTAACTATGTTAGACATCCAATCACCACCAACCTTCTTGGTAAAACCTGAAACAAAGAAGTCATTAAGCACCTCTGCCATTTCCACATTTTCTGTTATTGTCTTTCCCCCCTCATTGAGTAACGGGCCTACTCTGTCCTCGGTCTTCCTCTTGCTTCTAATGTATTTGTAGAATATTTTTCTTGTTTCCTTTTATGTCCCTAGGTAGTTTGATCTCATTTTGTGCCTGGGCTTTTCTAATTTTGTCCTAGCATACTTGTGTTATTTGTTTATATTCATCCTTTGTAATTTGGCCGAGTTTCTACTTTTTGTAGGACTCTTTTTTGAGTTTTAGCTCATTGAAGATCTCCTGGTTAAGCCAGGGTGGTTTCTTGCCATACTTCCTATCTTTCCTACGCAGTGAGATAGTTTGCTCTTGTGCCCTTAATGTCTCTTTGAAAAACTGCCAACTGTCTTCAGTTGTTTTTCCCCTTAGACTTGCTTCCCATGGGATTTTACCTACCCACTCCCTGAGTTTGCTAAAGTCTGGCTTCTTGAAATCCATTGTCTTTATTGTACTGTTCTCCCTCCTACCATTCCTTAGAATCATGAACTCTACCATTTCATGATCACTTTCACCCAAGTTGCCTTCCACTTTCAAATTCTCAAACAGTTCCTCCCTCTTTGTCAAAATCAAATCTAGAACAGTTTCCCCTCCCAGTAGCTCTCTCCACCTTCTGAAATAAAAAATTGTCTCCAATACATTCCAAGAACTTGTTAGATAATCTGTGCCCTGCTGTGTTATTTTCCCAGAAGATGTCTGGGTAGTTGAAGTCCCCCATCACCACCAAGTCCTGAGTTGGCCAGTTATCTCCTGTGTCTTACATATGAAACTCCTGTAATACACTCCAAAATTATGTTTGTGTTCTTTGCAACTGCATCACGTTGACTCATATTCCATTTGTGATACATAACCCCCAGATCCTTTTCAGTAGTACTACCACCTAGTCATTTTGTAGTTATGCATTTGATTTTTTTCCTTTATAAAACTAGTACTTTGCACTTGACCTTATTAAATTTCATTTTGTTAATTTCAGACCAATTCTTTAATTTGTCAAGGTTATGTTGAATTGTAATCCTGTCCTCCAAAGTGTTTGAAACCCCTCCCAGCTTGGTGTCATCCATAGATTTTTATAAGCATAGTCTCTATTCCATTATCCAAGTCATTACTGAAAATATTGAATAGTAGCAGACCCCGGAATGACCTGTGCTGGATCCACTAGATACATCTTCCCAGTTTGACAGCAAATACTGATAAGTATTTTTTGAGTATAGTCTTTCAACTAGTTGTGCACCCATTTTATAGTAATTTCATCTAGACCACATTTCCCTAGTTAGCTTCTGAGAATGTCACATGAGACTATGCCAAAGCCTTACTAAAATCAAGGTATATCATGTCTACTGCTTTTGCCCTAGCCACTAGGCCAGTAATTCTGTCATAGAAGTAAATTAGGTTGGTTTGCCATGATTTGTTCTTGACACATCCATGCTGATTATTATCACTATTATTCTCAAGGTGCTCTGAAAAAATGATTGTTTAATAATTTGTTCCAGTATCTTTCCAAGTATCAAAGTTAGACCAGGGCCGACGAAAGGGGGGGAAGCTGGTACAAATTACCGGGGCCCAGCGGTCCGGAAGGGGGCCCGTGGCCCAGCTTCCCCAGCTTCACCGGCCCTGTTTAGCCAGTCCGCCCTTCCTGGGGGGCCCGAAAAAAATTTTTCACCGGGGCCCGAACCTGAGTTAGACTGACTGGTTTATAATTTCCTGAATTGGCTTTGTTCCTCTTTTTAAAGATAGGTACTGTGCTTTCCCTTCTCCAGTATTATGAGACCTCACCTGTCCTACATGAGTTCTTGAAGATAATTGCTAATGATTACGAGCCTGCTTCAGCTAGTTCCTTAAGTACTCTAGGATGAATTGTGTCAAGCCCTGCTGACTAGAATACATCTAAACTATCTAAATATTCTTTAACCTGGTCTTTCCCTGTTTTGGCTTGCGTTCCTTTCCTCTTGTTGCTAATGTTAATAGTGTTGAGTAGGTCATCATTAACCTTTCTAGTGAAGACTGAAGCGGAATGGGCATTAAGCACCTCTGCTTTCTTGATGTCATTCATTTTTGGCTCTTGTTTCCTGTTACATAAAGAACTTACACTTACGTTGAGAGCAAGAGAAAGATGAATTTATAGAATCTCCTCTTATTGCCTTTTATGTCCCTTACTAGTTGTAGCTCATTTTGTGCGTTAAGCTGTCTGCTTTTGTCCCTATGTGCTTGTGTTATTTTTTTGCACTGATACGTAGCACTTTGTTCATGTTTCTGCTTTTTATAAGATTCCTTTTTGATTAAAGAGCTCCTCTTGAAGCCATGTTGGCCTCTTATTATCTTGCCTTTGCATTGGAATAGCTTGCTGTTATGCCTTTATATTGTCTGTTTGTGAATTGCCGGCTTTTGAACTCCTTTTTCCCTTAGATTTTCTTTATGGGACCTCTCTGATTTTGTTAAGTGTGGGGGTTTTTAAGTCCATTGTCCTTATTCTGCTGCACTTGCTCCTTTCTTTCCTTAGAACCATGAAATCTGTCATTTCGTGATCCCTGTCACCCAAAGTGCCTTCCACCTTTAAAATTCACAAGCAATTCTTCTTTGTTGGTCAAAGGGGGGGAGGGATAATTCAGTGGTTTGAGCATTGGCCTGCTAAACCCAGGGTTGTGAGTTCAATCCTTGAGGGGACCATTTAGGGATCTGGGTCAAAATCAAGTCTAAAATGGCTGTCCTCCTGGTTACCTCCTACACTTTCTGAAACAAAAGTTTTTCCTCAAAACATTCCAATAACTTATTGGAAAGTTTGTGTTTTGCCGTGTTACTTTTCCAGCAAATGTCTAGGATTACTGCCAGGGCTTGTGTTTTGGATATTTCTGTCGTTTGTTCTAGAAATGCCTCCAACTCCTTTTCTTGATTTGGTGGTCTATAGTAACCCCTTATCTTGACATCACTCCTATTTTTGCCCATTTTATCTTTACCCAGAGATTTTCAACTAGTCTGTTTCTCTCCTCCTTTTGGACCTCAGAATAAATGTATATGTTCTTAATATATAATGCAACACTACTTCTCTTTTTTCCCTCTGCCTGTTCTTCCTGAACAAGTTATACCCCTCTGTACCAATATTACATTCAAGATTTATCCCAACAAAGTCTTTGTGATGTCAATTATGTCATAATTTAGCTTATGTATAAATACTTCCAGTTCTTGTTTATTCCCCATACTCTTTGCATTTGTGTATCGACATCCTAAGATGTTGAGCAGATTCCCTCAGTGATCTCACTCGTGCTCCTGTGATCCTATTGTAATTTTCCATGTCCCCCCTACCCCAATATCTAGCTGTCCATTAGGGTTGCTTTTCCTATGCTTACCTGTGGGCTTTTGTCACTTGCGACCTTTGAACTTAGTTTAAAGCCCTCCTCAGTAGGTTGATACATGAAGATCCTTTCCCCCTTATTGGTCAGTTGGACCCCATCTCTTCCTAGCAGAACTCCTTCCTAGAACAGCAACCTGTGGGTGAGGTAGCCAGAGCCTTCCCATTGATGCCATCTATGCAGCCATGCATTCATCTCCAGGATATGTCTCTCTACTTAGGCCCTTACTCTCAACTGGGTGGATGGATGAGAACACAACCTGTGTCCCTGACTCCTTCATCCTCAATCCCAGAGTCCTGTATTCACTGCTTATCTGCTCAGGATCATACCTGGTAGCATTATTAGTGCCCATGTGGATGAGCAGCATGGGATAGGAGTCGGGGGATGAATTAGTCTTGGCAACCTTTCTGTGACATCTCTGATATGGGCTCCATGCAGACAGCACATCTCTGGGACTCTATATCAGATTGGCATATGGATGTCTGTCTCCCTCAAAAGGGAATCACCGACCACCAGCACCCTATGCTGTTTTCTCTGGGGTGTGGTGAATGTGAGCCTCCCAACATTGGGAGAAGATGGTTCCTCCTCCTATTGCCAGTACTGCATACTGGTTCTTGACCATGATGGATGGGGGACTTGGATGGGGGGTGAAGCACTGTCTGCTGCCCGAGGTGACTGGCAACCAGTCTCCTCCCTATAGAGCTGCCAATTCTCCTTCCTCCTCTCGTGTTGCTGTAGTCACCTGAAGTTGGTTAGTATTCTCTGTCCCAGGTGTTTCCATGTGTCTTGTCAATTAAGTGCTCAGGCTCCTAGATGCTACCCAGATGAGCCACTTCCTCCTGCTGCTCATCTACCTGTTTCCTGAGGGACTCCCAACAGACCCCTAACACACTAGTGGGTTCTCCTGCCAGGCCATGTTCTGAGCAAGTCAAGACAGGGCCAGGGTGGAAGCCTCCCCAGAGTCAGGATGCGCATCTGGCAGTGGCCCCCATAGGTGCGTGCAGAGTTAGAGCTAGCTAGCAGCAGTGTTGGTGACACACCATTTCTGTCCCATTGTGGGCTATTCCTTGTAGAGTAGCTGCAAGTTAGGGTTCTGTGGCTTTCCTTTCCTTATCTCCCTACTGTCCTTTTGCTGGCAAACTCAACTAGCTAATTCCCTTAGTCTTACCAGCCACATCACCTGTAGTCTCATCACCCCTAGTCTCACCAGCCACGTGTCTTACCAGTCATTGGGAGCCTGCATGCTTTTTAAAGCTGGGCCTCATGTAGCGCTGGAATGGGTGATTCAGCCCCTCTCACTCAGCCACCTCTACTCACTGCTCAGTGAATTGGGCCCTAGACTGCCTTTGTGACTTTGTTCCTCCTAAAAGTACATAAAATCCTCTCTTCCCCAGGCAGTTTCGTATTAACCTTTTATGCAGACTGCCTCTTCACGTAGAATTATACTTCATTAAACAATAAATGAATTGTTAAAAATGAATATTGTTGGCCACTTGCTTTAGGAAGTTATCTTAAAGATGTCCTCTATTTATTTTATTACCAAAGGTGAGTGAAGCAGGCGTTCACAGACCCCATGTTGGCGGAATCCATGGACGCAGTAATGATGGAGCGTATTCACTTGTGCTGGCCGGAGGATTTGAAGATGAAGTGGTACGTTTTTTTATCCAAACCAATGTCAAGACTTCTGTTGTATGAATGTGGAGAGTTAAGTTCATTGCTGCTCCTAAAGTTAACCCTCATAAACAAGGTGTGAGCTCACAGAATAATAAATATTAACTATTATTTAACTTATTTTTTGAATTTAAACAAAAATATATGTTTAAAAAATATATCCTTAAAATATATGGTTATGGATGACAGAAGACAACTTCGTGTTCTAATGTAAAGTACTTTAATTAATGCTGAATTTTAGTTTATTCACAAATGCTAATTGTTAATATTCTTCTCTAGTCTGGATTTATTACCAGCATATAAAATCTGATGAGCCTGTGACAGTAGGGTTTGTAAATGATGCATTTTAGATCCTGCCCTGACCATCATCTTTATTGCTGTCAAGTTAATAAAACTGACTATCAAGCAGATAATCTTGAATTTTCAGCAGTGATCTTAATTTTAGTGAGGCTAGGATAAAAGATACAAGGTCCGATCCTGAGATGTGCAGAAGGTCCTCGTCTCCTGTTGATTTAACTGAGAGCTGAGGGCCCTCAGTACTACACAGGAAAATGTTATCTCTTTGGATCAATGTGCTCAAAAAAAGATGTTGGGAAATGTCTACATTGGTGACCAATACATATCAACATCTAAATAGAGTGACCAAGCTATATGAAGTATTAGTCTTGTTTGTCCTTTCTTTTCATGAGCCTGACCAAGATAAGTGTGTGAATAGAGTTTCTGTAATCAAAATAATGTTTACACAGGGTACTCCCCCTCCTGCAGTTCTATGCCATCAGGTGGAATTCTGAATCGTACAACAGGTGAACATAAAGCAGTAAGCATCCTGTTTTTTTAAAAAACATAGGCAGCTGTTAAACATAGGCAGGGGAAAAAGGCATTAGACAAGGAAATGAAATAAACAGCCTAAATAGCATCAGAATGTTATGTATTCTTTGCCAACAGCGCTTACCCAGCTGCTGCCGCTGCGGGAGTTTGCCTCCGAAGGCATCAATGTGTCTCTGTTGGAGAAGTCACATGAGGAGGTACTTGGTGTTGGAACATTACTACATCCCTGGAGTCAACCCCAACCCAAGCCCCAGGGCACATGGCCATGGCATCCTATTGAGTCAGCTGCTATATGGTCAAAGCTGGGTAGCTGGGGGATGCTATTACTTCTGTTCTTTATTTTTGGCAGTGGTATTGATGTTTTGGAGCCTTGGTATCCCTGGTCCTATCCCCATCTGATGGTGTGGCCAGGTGCTACTGCAGATACTGATACTCAAGTAAAGTCATACTCTTGTGGGCTTTATATTTTGGAAGGAGCAGAGAGGGAGAAGGGAGGGGAAGAAATATTGCAGCTGCTATTCTCAAATGTTTGTATGACTACCAGACATGGTGCCTTTAGGCTTAGTTCCTGTAGCTCTTTAATTAAGGATACAGAGAAAAAAAAAATCTTATTTAGGCGCATGTTTAGTAATAGTGCTAATTTTCTCTTCAGTAACTGCTTGCTGGCATCAGCCTACACAAACCAACTTCCTATGGATTTCCAGATGACTTCCACCTTCCCATTTTTCTTAGAGAGGGTTAAAGGAGAAAGCTCTCTAACACACAAAGAAAAATTCAAACTCCTTTCTTGTCACTCTTCTACATACACCAACCATTCCCCCAACAAAACATTTCCTTAAAAATTGGTGTAGAGGTTTGGAGTCCTGCCCCAGCCAGTTCACTAAACAGGACCAAGGAAAGTGGGATTAAGAGTCCAACAGGACTAATCACTTGAGCATAGTTACTTGTATGTAAGTGTTTGCAGAATTGAGTGATAAATTAATATTCGAGGCTATTTTACGGCATGTGTTTATAGTATTTTTCAAATGGTTTCTACTAACCTTCAAGCTGCTTCTTCACACTCTCCTTGTGAGTATGAGCAGCTGCTTATCACATGAGTGATATTTGGCTTGCAAAAACTTGTTGCAGGAAGTGGAAATTACCCTTTGGCTTTCAGTTCTTATCCTTTTATGATGCACAACTGAAAGTGCCCAATTTGCAAACAAACAAACATGTAACTTTGGTCACATAAATCCTGTTGAATTTAGTGAATAAAGTTACTCAGTTGCATCAGTGCGGGATCAGGCTCCAAATGTAGAAAGGGGTTTCATCAGCTTTTGCAAAATGAGCAGTAAGATGAAACTTAACAGTCTTGCTGCTTATGCTGAATTTCCATAAAGTTACATGCATCTAAAGTGTTTGCATATTAATATTTTTCTTGTGATTGTCTATCCTCGTAATTTAATGGAAAGGAGTTTAGTTGCTTTAGTTATCTGATTTTAAGATGCACTAATTCTAGCTACCTCTGATTCAGATTGTTGTATTTGTTAAAAATAAGAATCTTTCAGTCCTGTTCTTGATATTTTAAGGACTCTAGAACACTAACTTGAAGAAATTATTGCAGAATTTTTTTCCATGAATTTGAGCAGTCTAAGGCCTTGTCTACACTAAAGGGAAAAGTAGATCTAAGCTATGCAATTTGAGTTACGTGAATAACGTAACTCAAATCGACATCGCTTAGATCTACTTACCGCGGGGTCCACACTACACGATGTCGATGGGAGACGCTCTCCTGTTGACTCCCCTTACTCGTTTCGATCCAGTTGAGTACAGGAGTTGACCGGAGAGCGATTGGCAGTTGACTTAGTGGGTCTTCACTAGACCTGCTAAATCGACCGCTGATGCATCGATTGCTGCTCGTCAATTCCCAGTAAGTGTAGACAAGCCCTAAGAACTACGTTCATTATGGACCAATGTTTGTCAGGAGCCAGTATGACAGATTTTAGACATTACTAATTACTGTGACATTCGGGATCAGAATCTTCATGATTTATTCCTTTGGAAGCATCTGTGTATCCAATTCAAACTATTAAAGAAGATTCAACATCCTCTCCTTTGAGATGCCAAATTGTCAATCTGTAGTTTTTGCGGTCAGGTTTTGTGGCTTCACTGAAAGTTTAAATACTTTTTGAGTCAGGATTAAAACTGATGTTTGCTTCCTCTTAGAGTATGGACTTCAAGGTGCATTCTTCAGATGGGTTTGAGGAAGTATTAATCAAGGTGGTTAACTTAAGTACTGATTCTGTGTCAACAGTTTAATCTGAATGAATTTTGTTTTTGCCTCAAGTGCCCTCTGCTTATTTCCATTTGTGGGATTGGCAGTTCCCATTGTTGAGTTACAGAATCTTCCGGAGAGCGGTGTGCATTGAGGTCACTTACCACTCCCTCTCCCTCCTCTGTGGGCAATTCTCAGGTTATTGGAGGAGTGCTCCCAACTGCTCCTGGGTTCGTTCTTAACTTCCAAAGGTTCAGTGAGCTCATCTCACACACGGTGTCCTCAATTCCTTCCTTCCTTTTCTTCTGCCTTCTCAGGGCTATTTTTATTTTAGTTAGTTAGATTCTCAGTTAATTAACACAGGTTTCTTAATTTAAGAACAAAAAAGAAATTATAACCATTTGTCATGTGTGTCAGCTGGACACACATGGAGCAAGAGGGCTGCCAAACCCTGCTGATGGGGAAGCTCTTCAAGTCCCAGAAACTAAGTCTGGCAATATGTAAGTCCATCATTGACTTTAGAGATTCGCTAGGCAAGTGATTCTATTTCCAGCTCATGCAGCATTCAGGTCCATGGTCTTAACCTGCCTGACAAAGCCCGGTACTGAGATTCCAGCACAGTAGATACAGCAACGGGGTCCCTGGATCTGTCCAGGTCAACCTAATGCAGCAGTGAAATTCCAGCACTGTTGATAGGACACCAAAGCCCCAGGGTGTGACTGAGTAGACCTAATCCAGCACAGCGGTTCTGGCACAACCAGCATGTTGTTGAGATCCCGAAATCCCTGTAGGTAGACCCAGGTCATTGCGGAGGTCCTGGAACTGTTGACATGCTGCCAGGGTTCTGGCACCATCAATTCCAGTGAATCAGAAGTGGTTTGGTGCCCACTGTAAGAGGCACTAAGGTCCCCAGATCCCTCTAGGTCAACCAAGTCAATTGCCTAGGATCTGGCAGGAGAGAATGTGGTGAAGTACTTGATGAAGTCATCGGGTACCCCCTTTGTACATGGCATTAACATCCCCACAGTCTGAATCATGCAAGTCCAGTTCTAAGGATTTGGCACTACTGGCTGGTGTACCACTTGCTTGAAGTGATCTAGCACGAGTATAAGTGGTTTTTGATCTCTGGATCCATCTGGATTGACAGTGTGGTGCTGAGGATCTGGCACAATTGACTCTGGTGAAACACTTGCATGAAATGATTCGGTGCACAGTATAAGCAGTGTTGGATTAAGGGTCACTTACTCAACAGATGGGTCTAACATTTTTTAAAACAAAACGCTCAGCAAGTAGTTATCAGTTACTCACAATAGGGAAGTTGATCAGGGCGATCTCAGCGCAGTCACCTCCAGCACTGGACAGCTTCAAACTTCCTTTGTTACACAAACTTATTTATAACTTTTTGTCGTCTTTTCTTATACAGATGCATTATTAGTCTCTCATTTCCATATTAACTCCACTCCCCCAGCAGGCTTATTGTTCGTTCAAATCAGTCTTCTAGCTTTTTAGTACTTTATCTTTTCTTGTTCTCACAGACAGGATTGCTCTGCAGTTTCTTATACATGCATAACACTAAACATGATTACTCGTCAATTTCTTACATGAACACAGTTCTATTTATTTTTATGCTGTTAAATGTTATCAGAACAGACTCTTAAAATCCACAGCAGGCTTCTGTCAGGCGTAAATATGCCTTCATTCCCAACAAATGGCACTAAGGTCCCTCGTTCCATTGGTGTCAAAGGTACAGCAGCATGATTCGGCAAAAAACTAGTTGAAGTGTCTCTGTGCCCAACTCTAGTGGTGGTAGGATCCTCAGATTCATCTGAGTTAACTTAGTTTGATGCCAAAGATACAGCACTATTAACTTAGGTAAACCACTGTTCAAACTGGTTTGGTGTCCCCAATGTGCAGGTCTCCAGGTTTGCTCAGTTAAACTCAGTCCAGTGCTGTACTGGTGACTGTTTCTGAAGTACCACTGAGTAAAGAGATGTTACACCTTACATAAGTGTCACCAGAGTTCCCTGATTTATCAAAATCTGTTGACTCTGGTGCTGAAGGTGCAGCAATTCTTGATTTTTCTGGCACCTTTAACTTTGTTTAGCAGCCCAGTGCTGAGATCCTGCACCACAGGTTCAGAAGAATTACATGCAATGAGGCTCTATGTCTAGCATAAGTGATTAAAGATCCCCAACTCTGTCTAAATAGATTGAGGGTGGTGCTGAGAACTGGACACCATTGACTCTTCATTTTTAGAGATGGGATAACCCCATGATACTTGAGGGTCTACTGAGTCAGCACCCTTACATCTGGGTCTCTTTTTCTGGAATCTTTCCGGTGTCAGACACTTAGTTTGTGTAATTTCAGTAGTCAAGTGATACTTGCCTGTGGGTAATTCCCAGGGCCTGCAGAGATGGTCAACTGAGGAACTAGGTAAACATTCCTTTTGTGGGAGTCCCTCCAGATGAAATCAGTAGAACTGTTCACTTTTCCAGGCCAGGGTTCTGAGAAGAACCTGAAGTGCCTTTTGTCATTTCTGAAACACCTCACCTAACCAAGATATCCTTGAAAGCAGACACCTTCATCACTGAAACCTTGGAAGCCCATTCTTAGGCCTAGATTGAGGATGATTTGGTAGCTAGTGGGTTTCATTCAGTGCTACACCCCTTATTGATTCCAAAAATAACTAAGACTTTGACTTTGAAACTACCTGAAGCCATTACTGCCTGGAAACATCGAGATTCCAAACATCAGTGTCAGTGCTTTATTTATGAAGATGGGCCGTAATGAGGTTTCCTGGAGTCCACTGCACGAGCATCTGCTGATGCTGGATCACTGGATCTTCTTATTTTCCTATTTATGTGCAATCAGCTGTACATTGACATTACCTGAATCATCACTTTAAAATTTTTTAAAAGGACAACCAATCCTGGGAGCATCCTGTCTTGGTCCTGAAAGTTTATTAATTGGACTGAGCCTTTTGGTGCCGCATTTCTGATGCTTTAGTTCTGGAACATATTCTGCTGCAGTGCCAGAAAGACTTTGGATTTTT